TTAACAGCAATGGGTATTTTTATCTCCAGCCACTTAGTTTTCCAGGTGAAGGCATTCCTGCTTTTACTTATTCACTTTTCCAGATTTTTTTGGCAGTGATGACAGTTAATCTTGCTTTGTGGCTTCTGTTTTTCTTTCTGACATCATATTGATGAAACCTCCTTTACCTCAGATGATGCAATTGGTTTGGTTTATTTATATCCAGTGAGAGTTCACAGGCGTAAGAGAGAATTATTCTTGCAGAAGAGATCTCAGAGTTGACCAGACCCTGCCACTCATGTGGACAAGGAAGTGGAAACAGCAGCTTTTAGTTTAATCTTGAGGGCTTCTCTTTGGAAACAAACAGAAGTGGAGCTCAGTAGTATTTCTGGTATGTTCTTACTACTAAAATTCTTATTTTTCCCTGGGAGATTAGGTGCAAGTCTGTAGTGTTAATAGCTGTGGAAAGTACTCATGTGTGTGTTGTAAAAATCTGTGGTTCTTGTGTATGTTCTTAACCATTTTAAAATTAATATTAAAAAGAAAAGAGCCTCTTTCCCAAATGTGGGTCACTGCAAGCACACAGTCTGCACGTGATAACTGGCTTATCAATAAGGTGATCGTCCTGTACTTGCCTGTCACGTTTCCTTAATTAAAGCTTTGAGAGTTGCTTCTCATGTAAATCCCTTTCTAAATTGGTCAACACCTGTCTTACAACTGCAAAATGTTGAGAGGTGATAACAAAAGGCATGTAGAGAATCTGTTATGTACAGTTGTAACTTTGGTGGATGGACATTGTGGATGTGGAAAATATTTGTAGGGCTCAGGGAGTTGCTGTGTGTTGTTATCTGCTGAGGTTAGCACAGATGATGTGTTTTACTTGCAAAATGAAGTGTAGAGGGATTTTATTTTACCAAGTTTGGGGGTTTTTATGTGCTTTGTTTTGGTTTTTTGACTGAAACATATTTGTAACCACACGGACTCAAGAGTTGGCTGAGCTGCTGATTTGTAGTGGGGGAGGAGAGGGGAAGTGGGAATTGGTATAATGCTCACTTCCTTCGGGGTAACTCTGCTGCTATTGCTTCTAGCAGCACCTTTGTGTGCGTCAGGAAATGGGTGTTGGGGACAGCTGGGGCTGAAGGGCTTTCAGGGTGCAGTAGTGCAGAGTTTGGGGTCATGTCAGGGAGTTAAACCATAATCCAGGAGCGTAAATGTGTGAGGTGGGTGTGTGAGGCCAGGGAGGGATGGAGGGCACAGGTGAGGGAGCCAGGTGGGTGCCACGGTGGGATTGATGTCTGGGAAAAGAGCACACTCAGCCCTTCCAGAGGCAAACTGGTGCCTCAGAGCTCCCCTTGTTTCTCATGACCCTCACTGGAAGCACAGTGCCTGGTTTCTCCTCAAGAAACTCCTTCCGCAAAGAATTCAGAGAGCCAAAACTTCCCGTGTTTGTTTTGGGCTTGTTTTCTGGGGTGCCACACAAAATCATGTGCTTGGAAACCCAGTTCTCCTTCCAATGTCTGATTGTAGGATTGGGTTTTAGAAGCAGAGGGTGTTGAATAAGTCAGCAGGCCAGGGGATTGTTTTCAGGGATGTCATGACCTGGTGCTGCTCCAGGTGTAGTGTGACTGGGTGTGTTCCTGGTGCCCCTCTGACCTCCCATCACTGCCTTGTGTCCCACTCCTCCCTGTGCTCAGGGTTCCAGTGATGGGTCAGGATTCCCCCGAGGAGCCCTGGTGGCTCTGCTGCCTCCCTGCACTCCTGGGGAGCGAGGGAAGATGGGCGAGTTACGGTTACCCTGGTTTTACCTGCTTGCTGCAGCCTTTCATCTTGGCTCTGTTAATTACTGCTGAGTGCTCTGGCAGTGCTCTACTTGTGAAGGGAAAATGAAGAACGTTCATTCAGGATTAGCTAAAGACAGGCTGTAAACACCACGCTGGCCTTCCAGAGGCAGCTCCTCCTGGACCTGGCCAAGCCAAGTCCAGCACAGGGGCTGTGCCAGGGCTGCTGGAGGCTGGGCTGGGCTTGAGCTGTGCTGGTGGAGCTGGAGCAGTGTCCAGTCACCCTGGCAGCTCTCTCACAGCAGGGCTGGTGCCACAGCAGAATCCTCTTGGTCACACATGTGTCGCCTTGAGGGCTGGGAATTAAAGACCCTTGGCAGGGAAACAGTGAAAAGAGACTGTGGGTGCTCACGTGGATCTGCTAATACTGATGGGTGACAGCAGATTCAGTAGAAATTGCCAGCACAGTTTGGGTCCCAGGAGCAGGCAACAGATTGGGGATAATTCTTGGAATTATTGTGAGATTTAGCAGAATGCTCTGAAAGTTCCTCAGACTGTGAATGACCTTCCCATTCAGTGACCTTTCCTTTTGTTTATTCTCCTTCCTCAGAGATGCCTTAACACCTTCTCCCCTCCAGTTCCCTGTTAGGAAGAAATTCCAGATAAGTGTAATACAGCTTTAATAACAACACTATAAACAGAGGGAGGGAACATGCTTACAAATGTTCCTTAATGTCTTTTCCAGGGTTGCTCATAAAAGTTGAGGTCTAATTCAGTGTTAGAGGAGCCAGTGCTGTCCAGCGCACAGAGAGTTTATAAGGACTTAAATAAAATACAAAAAATAGGCGTAATAATTTTTGGAGGTCATCTTTAAGCTACTAGAACAAAGCCTTATTCTTAGGGGAGGCTTTCCAGGCTTCCAGAGTACTCCAAATGCTGTCCACTCAAGGAAAAGTGGAGCCAAGGAGGTTTGCAGGAGCTTAGCAGGAGGATTTGCTGTTTCCAAGTGGGTTTGCTAACCCGGAGGAAAAAGCAAGTGTCAAAGTTTTGCTTCCGTTTCCCACTTCTGTTAATTTAAGCTGATGACCTACAAATTAACTCACTCCAGCCTGCATCTCCTGCAGGCTCCTGACTGTTCATGAAGAGTCATTTAGCTCCCAAGGGGAGGGATTTCTGCTCTTTTTGCACTTGGGTGTTTCCAGAGCCACTGTGGATGTCTGGTGGGGGCTGTGGTGGAGAGCCCTGAGGCAGAGTTCCCTCTGGAAGGGAAACCCAGATGTTTCTGCAGAACTGGGAGCCTGTTAAGGGCACTCATCCCCGGTGTGTGTGTCTCTAGTCTTGGAAGGAGGCTGGAGGGGAGGAAGTCTTTATTCTGACAGTCTTCCTCCCTCCTCTCCCAAGGGTGTCTTCGTTACAAGTGGAAAGTTCCCTGCAAGTTCCTTTTTTTTTTCATTCTTCCCTGAATAGGCATGTTCAGCTTTTATTTATGGACCCAAATGGTGACTAAAAGCCGTTTTCAGTGAATGTGGCCTAAACTTTTAGACATGCAGATCCTTTTTTAGTAAGGATAAAGTGTAATCAATTACAGAATACTGTAAGTTCTGTGAGCTGTGGGACTTGGGAAGCCTGAACCCTCCTCCAGCATCTCGATATTTCTGCTGCAACAGCTTTTTTAAAGTGGATTTCTCTGGGAGTGTATTCTTTCTCCTCTATCTCCTTCTTCTGTCACCTAACTGGATTTTATGGAGAGTGACTTAGAGGGACTGTGAGCAGGGTAGGGGACAGCCCTCAGGACCAGTCCAGGCTGGAGGATGAACAGATGGAAACCATTTTGGGATTCCAGGACTGTGGAGGGTTTGTGTTTTGGATCTGCTGAGGGGCTGGACAGTTGACCCAATGTATGTACTCATTGGAAACCACACAGCAAATAATTTTGAGTCTTCCCTCCATGGGAATTTGAGTTTGTTTCTCTAACTCATCTTTGACTTTTCACGAAAATTCAGGTTATAGTACTTTGATTTTCAGCCTTGATGTCTTTCTGATCCCTGTTAGGGAGAAGCACCTGAATCTGATGTTGGGAGCAACTGGATGAGCCCAGAAACAAGACTGGCTACGAAATTTTCCTTGTTAAACATATTAAAACTTCAGCTAGTCCTTGCTTTTCCTGTAAAGTGGTGCATTAATATGGTCATTGGGGTGTGTTAATGAACAGCTACAACAAGCTTATGCAAATTTATGTGAAATCAGAGGATTGGCATATCAGGCAAGAGATCAGGGCAACTTTATTATTAGGTTGACATGAAATATCCTATGAAAATGCTAAATAACTTCAGCAGTAAAAGGAAAATCAAGTAACTGTTTCACTGGCAGCACAGCCAGTGCTGTGGGTTATTTGAATGCAATTTAAAAAGACATTTAAAAACACTAACAGTTTTAGTGGTAAGGAAAGTGAATGACCAGAGACTTGTATATGGGTGGAAAGAAGATACAGTGTAGAGAAACGAAGAGTCTTTAGTTATTTCTTTTTATTTGTTTGCTCTAGTTGGGTTAAACCCAGACTTACTCATATAGTCAGTGAAGAGCTCCTCTGTGCGTGTGTGGGTTAATCTTTATCCATGCTCTTGAAAGAGAAATGGGAATTGCTCACACTGGAAATCACCTGGCTCATTCGGAAATGTACTTCTGGGAAAGGAGGTTTCGTATACACGGGGGAAGAGACTTTCTTGAAATCCCGGTTTCAGGGAAGCAGTGGGGTTCCTTCAGCCACTGGGAGTTTAAGCATATGGAGATTTGTTCCCCTCAAGCCCTGTCTGTGTTACATGTTATAGTCAAATTTGTCATTTTTAAGACCCCTGAGCTGGCAGTAGAAGCACGGAAAGCTGTTTCATAGGTGTAGCTCAGGGATTTTAATGATGAAGTTGGTGAGCTGCTGGCATTGAGGAATAGGAGCATCCAAGGCCGGAGCTTTCATGGAGGCCTGGAAGGGTTCTGTGAAAGACGGGAGTAGCAGTTCCAGCCAGGCACCAAGCGTGGGAGATGCTGGGTTCTGGAGGGCTGTGTGTTCCTGTTTCTGCTCCCTGGTGCTGCTCTGCTGAGCAGCTGGGGCTCCGGGGGGAGGAGGCCGCGCTCAGCGTGGCGAAGCGCGAGCGCCGCGTCCGCATCTCGCCGCCGTTTTCAAAGCGGTTTTTGATTTATTTCCCCCAAGCGCAGCGCCTGACCGTGTGTTTTGCCTTCCCCGTGCAGGCTGCCCTCGGGAGCGGCAGTGGGAGGCAGTGGAGCTGGCCTCGGCAGCGGGAGAGGCTGGACTTCCCGTGTGTCTGTGCTGAATGGCTGCGATGGCGCCCGCTCTCACTGACGCAGCAGCCGAAGCTCACCACATCCGATTCAAGCTGGCTCCCCCGTCCTCCACCTTGTCGCCTGGCAGTGCCGAGAGCAACGGCAACGCCAACAGCATCCTCCTGGCTGCCAACGGCACCAAAAGGAAAGCCATCGCTCCGGAGGATCCCAGTCTAGATTTCCGAAACAACCCCACCAAGGAAGAGCTGGGCAAGCTGCAGCCGCTAGTGGCCTCTTATCTCTGCTCGGATGTAACATCTGTCTCTTCAAAAGAGCCTCTGAAGCTGCAAGGAGTCTTCAACAAGCAGACAGTCCTTAAATCTCACTCTCTCTTATCTCAGTCCTTTTTGAAAACAAGTGATCTGTTGGGGAGGCAACCAGTGTTGGAATTCACTTTGGAGAATCTAAAAACAATGAGTACCAATAGCCAGCCACCTCTCCCGCAAGCGCCTGTGAATGGCTTGGCCAAGAAATTGGCCAAAAGTACCAATTCAGACCATGAAAACTCTAGTTCTCTGAATGGTGGGAAGTGTGCTTCTCCTTCTGCTGCCCTCCAGACTGTTGACTATAATACAGGAGGTTCTGAATTGGGGGACTTGAAGACCGGCTTGACCAATTGCACTCTTCCACACAGAAGCCTTGATGCAGAGCACGCAACTCCCTTTAGCAATAATAGCACTGCGAATAAACCCTCCCTGAACTCCGCGGAGCAGCAGTGGGTGCTGGAGGGCGGCAGCGGGGACGCGCGGGTGCCCGGCGTCGGCAGCAGCAAGCTGGAGGAGCAGAAGCCCTCGGTGCTGCCCGCTCACCACAGCGCTCTGGACTCGGAGATGAGGACGAGGGCCCTGCTGCGGCGGCAGGCGGACATCGAGAGCCGAGCCCGGCGGCTGCAGAAGCGCTTGCAGGTGGTGCAGGCCAAGCAGGTGGAGAGACACATCCAGCAGCAGTTGGGCGGCTTCTTGGAGAAAACGCTGAGCAAGCTCCCAGCCTTGGACCCCCTGAGGCATCGGAGCCAGCTGATGCTGACCAGAAAAGCAGAAGCAGCCTTGAGGAAAGCTGCGAGCGAGACAGTTACTTCGGAAGGCCTGAGCAACTTCCTGAAGAGTGATTCAATATCAGAGGAACTGGAGAGATTCACGGCCAGTGGCATGGCCAACTTGAGATGCAGCGAGCAGGCCTTCGACTCGGATGTCACTGACAGCAGCTCGGGGGGAGAGTCGGACGTCGAAGAGGAGGAACTGACCAAAGCAGACCCAGAACAACCCCACGTACCACTGTAAGTAGCACTCACTTGTTTCCTTTTGCTGGTGGGGAGCAAGATGGCAGATAAAAATACAGTTTTTGTAGGAACCCTAAATTTTGAACGGTGTTGCGTTAAAGAATTGTTAAAACTATTGTGGTGTGGTTTGCAGCACGTACAGCACTGAAGATAAAATTCCTCATGCTTACTGGAAATAATCTTTGGTGTTTTTGGAGCAGCAAGTCGTGGAAATAGTGGCTGGCTGGAGTAGTGTGAGCTGCAGATACAAACCTGGAGTGTTTCTCTCCAAGATGCTTTGATCCTGTCTCCTGAAAGGAAATGCTTGTTGTTTTCCCATGGGAATATTTGTTGTAAGCCTGTTGTGTAAAGTAAGACCAGTCTGAATCTGTGCAGCTGACAGCATATTTATGATTGGGGAATTATTTTATTTGTTAAATGGACTGTCTGGAAAAAAGTACTCAGAAAGGATTTGGTTCAAGTGCCAGCGGAAGTGTGAAACGAGTGTGTTCCCTTCTTGAATCTGAGAAATTACTGCTGGGAATTTTCTTCTTGTCTGTGAGTTGCATTAAATGATGACAACAGCTTCATAATTATGTTGTTAACTGGATGCTGTTTGCATAAGTATTAGGTGTCAGTGTGTGTGTGTGGAGGAGGAAGATCCTTCTCCAGGCAAAAGGTCTTGAGACAGGTCAGGGAAGAAGGGAATTTTTTGTTCCAGACCCAGAATTTTCCCTGGGACTGCATATTTTTGCAAAAATCTTTTAAAAGGCCATGTTCTGAGTTTAGTCTGTGTGAAATCTTGCTTGCATCAGTAGATGGATGTGTTGAACCTCAGTCTGTGTCATTAGGATCAACAAAAACATCCCAGCGTGGGCACAGGGGTCCTGGCTGGAATGCCAATGGCTTTCACATCCAGGCTGGAAATAGTCACCAGGACTTCTAAATTCCTGCACTGCCCTGGGGTTGTTCAGATCTCTCTGGAGAAATCTCTGAATGGATTTGGATACCTTTTGTCCAGACTGTGTTAGTGACTGGTGGAGGGCTGTGTGACACAGAATTTACTGAGCTGGGTGGATGTGAACTGTGGGCACTTGGTAACTCCAGCATCCTCTGAGAACATGCTCGTGTGGATGAGTGCCGGTAACCAGATGTTACAGCTTTTGAATATCAAATTCCAGCTAAATGTCACGTTATGTTTTGGGATGGTGGCGCAGGATGAATTTCTGCATGTGAAGTTGTAAATGTGGCTTGAGATTGGGTTTCTCCCAGTGCAAAGCTGGTAGATAGCTGATCATGTGATCTCTCCTGGGTGGACATAAAGGGGTTCTTGTGCTGTTAGAAACAAGAGTTTAGTAACTTTATTCCTGTTTTATAACATCCACAAACTTACTGTTGGGATTAGTAATAGAATTATATTTCTAGGTCTTGTAGCAGTTAATGGAGGAGACATTTGACTAAAAATCCGTCCAAAATAATATTAAATTTCCCATACTGTGGGCTTCATGGCTTCACGTGTTGTCTAGCAAAGTGAAATTTCCTTGCCACTCCTTAATCCCGAGAGGAAGCGCAGCATTCAGAGACACGGCGCGTGAAATTCTGTGCTGACTTTTCCGCCCCTCGCGTTAGTCATGCCTTCACGTTCTGAGCGCTCTTAAAAAGCCCAAGATTCGAAAGCTAATAAAAAAGCTGATCCCTCTGTCGTCTCTGGGTTCAGAATGGTGTGTGTGCACCCTGGCATCTGGGCCAGGCCCAGCAATGCCCCTGTAAAGTTGGTGCCTGTGGCCATTCAGGAATGAGCCGTCCCTGCACTGACCGTCCTGTTGGATGGGTGCTGTGACATTGGCCAAGCTCTGGCACTGCTGAGCCTCAGTGCCTGTTGGTGCTTGTTAGTGGAGCTCCTCAAGTGACCCTTCAGAGCTGGTACAAGCTTCTGAGCACACCTAAATACCATTCTTCTCCAGCAGTGCTAGGAGGCAGGAAGGGAAGAGCCGAGTTTTCCACTGGGAAGCTGCCTTGGGCCAGCTGATGGTACAGAGCCATGTTGGACATCTGTGTGTGCAGAGGCTGCTCAAGGAGGGCTGGAGCTTTTGTCTGTCTGAATTTACTTCTTTAGAAGGAAGACATGAACCCTGATTATTTTAATTTTGATAGTGAGATGGAGTATGTCAGTGTGGAATGGAGACATTCCAAACCCACCTGGATGTGTAACCAGCTTTAGGAGGCCCTGCCTTGGGTGATCTCCAGAGGTCCCTTCCAACCCCAGTAGTTCTGTGATTCTGCATACTTCTCATTGCTCAGTCACCATCCCTTGGTTCTGCATTGCTTCTGGATGCCCCTGCTTTCCCCCCAAAAATCTGCTGTTTGCTTCTAGACCTTTGGTGAGAGTTGTGGCACCCGCAGTGTCCCAGAGCCTGCTGGCCATGAGTGGCCATGTCACTGACCACCTCAGAGATTCGAGTAGGAGCACCCAAAAGAGACAAAGACACGGTTTACATCATGCTTAGATAAGAGCTGACCTTTGAGTTTTTCTGGTGTGGTGACATTCCAGAACCGGTATCTGGTCAAGGACAGACTTTGAAGCATTTGTACTATTCTGACCTGCCTGATCTCAGCCACAGAGCACCATCTCCCTGAGAAATTCTTCATTCCAGTAGTGTTAGGGATGTATCAGAGCTTGGTAGGTCCTTTTAAAGCACTCCCAGACCTGCTGCCCAGGAAGGTGCTGTCATTCAGGTGCATAACCAGGCCATCATGCAATGCATAAACAAAGCAGGGAGGGATTTGTTACACCTTTGGGAAGCCCTGCCAGCCATGGGCTTGGTTTAAGGAGGTGCTCCTGGCTCTCAGGCTGCCCATGGGGAAGGCAGGTGTGTGCAGGCAGGGCTGGGTTGTGCTGAGTGCTTTGCTTTGTGTGCATCAAGGACCACCGTGCTGGGTTGTGTCTGCTGCCAGGTTAGCAATGCACAGGTCTGCTTCACAGCTGAGATTGCCTAGGGTGTGAGCAGTGCAGAGGGAGGATCAGGAGAGCAGCTTTGCCTGTGCTAGGAGGTGAGGAAGGCAGGTGGGAGAATCCAAACTTCCTTGGCTGGGTGTGACTGGAGGCAGCAGCGCCTGAGAAACCTGTGCGACTGTGAAAGAGCCCAGGTGCCCTTTGAAGGTGGGCAGGCCCTGGCACAGGTGCCCAGAGCAGCTGGGGCTGCCCCTGGATCCCTGGCAGTGCCCAAGGCCAGGCTGGACAGGGCTTGGATCAGCCTGGGACAATGGGAGGTGTCCCTACCATGGCAGAGAGTGGGACTGGATGGGCTTTAGGGTCCCTTCCAACCCAAACCATTCCATGGTTTTATGTTGCTGTCAGCATGCTGGAACTGCTTGTGAAACATGGTTCAGAGAAGGACATGGAATTCTTCCCAGTGCTGGAGGGCTGCTGGCTGAAATCTGGTTTATGTGGCTGAGTGATAGTTTAGAAAGTCACCAAAGTCCTGTTGTTTCTGTGTCCCTGTGCTAATACATTTAAATAGGAAATATTTCATGTGGCTTGTACACTTTTATAGTAGTTGCTCTTCTCAGAATGGTGGTTTCTTTGGTTGTGTTGGATATGCCTGCAGACAAGTTTAATCAGAATTTGTCAATTATTTTTGGCTGGTTGGGTGACCTGTGCTATGCAGTGATGTAGACATGAGCTGGTGAGTGGTAGGTGATTTAGTTCAACTTGAGTCTGTACCATGGAAAAATTTTCTGCAAAGGTAATGAAACCAAATATTTAACTGGGACTTATCTTTTAGCTCAGGTTTTCTTATCTGGAAAGTCAGTGTTTGGTTGGCAGTTGCATTGAGCTGCTGAGAGGGAACTGCAGTTCCTAGTGACCAACTTCTCACACCCCTGGCTTCCCACAGAGCCTTTCCAAGGGTCAGACAGTCCCTACAGCGTTCACTTGTGGTTGTTATGATGCCTATGGCCACGATGCCTGGGCACACTTCAATTATTCCCATTTACTGAAGGGAAATCCCAGCACCTTGTGCGCTTTGGTGTTGCAGTGAATCATTTCACAGCCCGTGTGTTGTCTCCTCCCTGCACTGCGTCACGTTGTGCTGCTGGGATTTCAGAGTTGCAGGGCTTGGAGTAGTAATTAACATTTCTCACAAGTGCTTTTCCCAGCACTGATTTCCAAGTCCTGTGTTGGAGATGAATGCATGGGGCACTTGGGTTGGGGGTTGCCTGAGGGGTGGCTGCAGTTGGTGCATCAGCTGACTGAGAAATGGGATTTAGGGATTTTAAATTTTTTCCCTTGATTATGTTTTTCAAGCAAGAACATGATAATAAAGCCTGTATCTCAAGACCCATTAAATAATATTTCTCAAATCCATGACTTTATGGAATTATGGTTCAGATGGCAGATCCCACACGTAATTCAGAAATCAAATCACACACCATGGGGACTAAGCAAACTTTTCCTAGTGGTCACAAACGTGTTTCATTAAATGATTTATGCAGAGCAATCCTAAAAGTTTGTCTCTTTATCACTTTTTCAGTCACCTACTTGTCACTTTGGGTGTTTTTTGTTGAATTTTAGCTGTGCTTGTAGGTGCTGATGACAGCAAGGTGCCTAACTCTATTTTTTAGCTGTTTATGAGAACTTACTTGTGTGTTGTCTGAGTTGTTAGTCTCAGCAGTGATGTCTTGGTCAGGAGTCCTGCAAGCTCTTTCAGAAAGAGAGAGCAAATCCTGAAGTGTTTTTGCTCAGCATTTAAAGCAGAACAATGGAGCAGCCGATTGTTCAAAAATGCTTAATCAGGTATCTGAAGTAAGTAGGACACTCCAAGTCCCTCTTGCTTTTAAGGAAAGAGGGCAAACAAGAATAGTCATTTATTTCTGAAAGAGATGCTGGTCCTAGTACACTTTTTACAGATATTATGGATGTCTAATAAGTTGTTTCTGACTTTTATTAGAGCCTTGCTCCTTGTGGAGAATGGCAGGGAGGTTTGGTGTAGGTCAGTGGCCATCCACAGACCTCAGAT